ACAGATGTTGCTTAAAACCCCTCCTCAGCCCCCACCTTAGGTTCTGCCTTTGTAGTTCACCAAGATAAGGTTCTGATTGGTTGGTTTCTATGCCAGTCAGAAAGCTCCACCTCCTAGGCAACCATTGGCTCCTGGCACTTCACCCAGATTTGGTTCTGATTGGTCGGTTTCTATGCCAGTCAGCGTACCCGGGCCTATCTTTGGGCTTGATTAAAGAGGTGGGGCTGATCAGCAGCCTGGGGAGGTCCAGCTGCTGGTGAAGCCCAGAGAGAAAGAGAGAGGCAATGGCTGATGGACAGCTGCCACTGAGGCTGCAGATCAGACCCTGCCTCTCTCTGCAGGCCTCTCTCCGGGCCTAATCCGTAGCCTCCTCAGCAGTCAGTGCTGGGTCGCCACAGCAACCCAGCACTGACTTCCAGTGTTTGGTCTCCCTTCTGGTCTGAGGACCCTAGGCTATTATTAGTATAGATATCACAATGGACTGTGAACCCTGAGGCTGGTATACATACTAAGAAGGGCTCCTGGTGGCTAACTGGGCTAAAATTAAAAAAAACAACAACACACAACACTCTAGTAACCACGTCTGCACAGGTGCTCTCACACAAACTGCGCTTCATGGAGAAGCCTGCACTGAACTTTCTGCCTCTGCACTGAACTGCCTACCTGCACTGTGGTTCTGCCATCTGAGCCAGAGCAGGGTAAAGCCGTGCTGTTTTCACAGCCATATTGTATCACAATTGAGGTGTTTTGCACTGAATAAAGTTTTCTTCTTCATTGCACCCCAAAATGGGGATTCTTGGTGAACTGGTGCCAACGACCGTTGGTTGACAGGCCTCATGGCTATTTATTTTTGTTCCATGGGTTTTAGCCCAATACTGTCATTATTTATTTTGTTTCTCAAGTTATTCCCCTTTTGGTCAAACTGTGTCTTTTCCCTATATTTTTGAGCACCCCTTTACTTTCTTGCACCACAACAAGCTCCAGGTTTGTTTTGTATTTTTCCTGTCCTGGACCTGGAATAAAACATTTGTCCAAAGAGCTCTGATTCTTTTTACTGGAGAATGATAGAGTCATGCACACCATAATGATGCGTTGGTCAATGATGGGCTGTATATACAGCAGTGGTCCCATAAGGTTAAAATGGAGCTGAAAATCCCTATCACCTAATGATGTCATAGATGTAGCCATAATGTGCACAGCACATTACTCACATGTTTGTGACGACGCTGGTGTAAAGAAACCTACAGTGCTGTAGGTGGTATAAAAGTGCAGCACATGCAATCATGTGCAGTATATGATAACTGATAATGATAGCCAACAACTGTAACTGATTTATGTATTTACTCTACTATTTTATTATTATTTTAGAGTGTATCTTTCTACTCATAAAAGCGAAGTTTGCTGTAAATCAGTATATTGTGTAACACTGGCAGCATCTTCATATATCTTGTGTTTACTGTGGCTCTTGATTGCATCATTTTCTCTTGTGCCTGATTTAGTTTCATATTGTTTTATAAATTCAGTGTAATCTAAGTGCACAGTGTTTATAAAGCCCACAGCAGTGCCCAGTGATGTCCTAGGTCTTTACATTCACTCACCACTCACTCACTGACACCCAGAGCAACTTCCAGTCCTGCAAGTTCCATTCATGGTAAGTGCTCAACACAGGTGTGCCATTTTTTTTATCTTTTATACATATTTTCACTGCACCTTCCTATGTTTAGATATGTTTAGATACACAAGAGCTTACCATTGTGTTACAGTTGCCTACAGTACTTAGTATAGTAACATGCTATACCAGTTTGTAGCCCA